ATTATTGATTAATTCGTCTCACAAAAGCAAGAGTCGCCACCGCGCTTTATTGTTTCCAAAGGAAAAGGGAAAAGAGCGAAATAAAACCCTAAATATGCAATGTAAATAATAATAGAAATACAAAGCGTTTTCGAAAAGAGATCTTATGGTTCGGGGGTTGGTTATACAATGGGAAGGTATTAGCACCCAATGCATCTATAGTACTCTTTAGGAACCTTTTGAAATATCTGTTTATTTAAAATTTGATTGCTTGATAAAAATAAATCGTTTTGGCCGAAAAGGGATACAGATAAGTTTTTGAAGATACGACGACCTAACGTCGAAGTTTTTGTTTAAAGGGGCATAAATTTTGAAAAGATTGAATACTTGAAGGCAAATTATCCTAAGTTTTAATGAAAAATGCAAATACTCGTGCGATTAGATTTGAGGACATGAAGTCAACAAATTTATCGTTTTTCCTTTGGATTGGCGCAAACAGAGTAATCAAATAAAAGATGAAATATTTAAACAGAAAATTATGAGAGATAAATGATATATGACAAATTTAATAAGAGACTAAGTATGTGAACGTGCATTTTTAGATTTTTATCTAATATTAAAGCGAGGGAATTAATTAAGGGAAATAAAATATTTTTTAAGTTTTCCTATGTTTTATATGTTTTTTTTTAATATTAATAATAAGGTATTTATTTTAAGAGTTTATTAAATAATTAAACTATATTAAAGCTTAAAGTCATTAATTTAAATCTAATTAGAAATAAAGAAGACTAAGATTATTAAAATAAACCTAAACTCAAACTAAAGAAGGTTGGGTAAAATATTAAAATTTGTTTGATTAAATTACATCCTTTATTTTTATTAGGTTCACTAATTAATTAAACTAATAACATTCTAAAAAAAAAAAGCTAATAGAATTAAAGGGTAGATAAACAAAGTATTGTATGGGCTAAAAGGTGTCAAAGAGGCCCAATCAATAACTGAAGCAGGGGGGGTGTAAAAGCAATTTCGTTTGGGCTTTAAGGCAGGAAAACAAGTTTTGGTCCAAAACATGATAATTGGTTTTAGGGTTAAACATGTGCTTAGCTGAATGGGATTAGGGTTTTTGTCTTGGCCGAAACGGCGCTCACACACTCTCGCTTCATCTTCTTCGTCTTCGCGCGTTTATCTTCTTCGCTTGAGTTCTGAACCCTCTTGAGCGTCCCTTGCCCAAAGGCCACCAGCAACCCAATCTTCCTCTTCCCTCCAACGCGAGCTAAGGCAAACGACGGATTTACGGTACGATTTGTTTTCTATTTCGTTAAGGGTTTTGCTACTGTATGTTTGTGATTCTTATACTCATTGACTCTGATTTCGTTTTATTATGTTATTATTGAGATACTTGAAAGAAAGGAAAGGGTGAAACTACCTGGAGAAGGAGGAAGGAAGGTGGGATGAGCTTAGGAGGCCGGGACGGCGAGGAGAACGTTGACGGCGCGAGCTTGCTTCGGTTGCCTAGTATCCTGATTTTCTCTCCTCTTACTAGCTTGCTGTACGTTTCTTAGTGTTGGCCTGTGATGATAACTTCTGAGGTTTTGGGCGTATATGATTCTTTTCCTCTTTCTTCTAAACTGTTGCTTTGAACATTATGTCGCCTTGAATGCTTCCTATTGATGCTTCCTATTGTTGCCTCTGAATGCTTCCTTTGCTACTGTTGAAATGCTTACTTTTGACTAGCGTGATGCTGTTGACGCTTTTCTTCTTCTTTTCTGATTTCTGTACGCTTCGTGGAATTTGCCTATGATGGACTCTGAGGCCTTCGTATGCTTGACCCTGCCTTCATTTGGATGTTTGAATTTGGTTGCATCGCTTGAGTTTAGGCCATTACAGGTTTTATGCTTTTAAGCCATAATGTTTATGACTTGGTTATATGGTTTGATGGTTTATGCAGTAGATTTGGAAACGGTTCGATGCAGTAAATGTTTTGAAATGGTGTAGAGGTTTGATGGTTCAGACAGTAGGAAGTGTTTTATGTGATATTGGTTTAAGTATTGCAGTAGGTTCTTGCAGGTTTGGCCGTGTTTGCTGGTTTGTTCTCCAGTAGGCTAATGGTTTATGACAGGTTATGTGGTTTAGCAGTATGCAGGTTTTGGCATTTTGGTTTTTTTACAGTAGGAACTGTTTTGATTTGGTTCTACTGGTTTTATGTGTTAGGAGGGTTTGACAGTTTTTTTTTTGTGTGGAAAGCTTGGAGATTGATTGATATATGTTTGAAGTGATTCCAATATGTTATATCCACTTCTTCCTTTGTTTTCGTTACAGGCTGAAGATTTTTACAATCTTCTTGGCCTTCTGCATCACACTGTTACAGCAGTTTTGTTTGTATTCTACTCTTGTGTTTCTCCTTTTACTGTAATATTGCAGTAGCTTTGTCTTATAATTCTTTCTGCCTAAACCAAAACCTGCAAAACCAATTTCTTGCTCTCTTCTCTCTCATGGGTACATTTGATATATAAAAATGATATAATGTACTACTGTTCTGAAAAGGCATAGGCTGAAATATGATGAATGAGGAAGTATATGTTGCTTGCACATTGTTTTGAAACTGCATAATCCTCTTTTTGTCTTGCATGGGAGCCTATGTTATTTGGCTTCTTCTTAAGTTGCATAGGTTTACGTTGCATTACTTGTGGGAAATGGCATATGCTGTATTTGTATGCTGTGTATAATTTGAAATATACATTGTGACAAAGAAATTATGCATATTTAGTTTTGAAAAATCGAAATGAATTTGTGCATATTTCAAAATTGTGCATTCATTTATGAAATAAAATTCCTCCCCTTTTTTGTGAACCGGGAGAAATCCCGTGATTTGCAAAAAAGGGTAAACTGATTCCAGCCGTTTGCCTTTAATGATGAACATTAAATTTATTTTCTGCTTTTAATTATTTATTCAAATCTGACTTTTCTTTTAATTGTTTTTGCAGGTAAAATTAAATGAGCATACAAAAAGGCATTGGATAGAAGATGAAGATTTAGAATTTAGGAAAATAGTTTTTTATTTTACTTTAAGCATTTATGTAATTGCCATTATAAATATTTTGTAATAACACAATATTTAAATGATAATTGTAATAAATAGAATAAAGTGAATAAAATTCTATTATTTCCCAATTAATGCTTTTTCTTTCCAATTATTTAATTATTGTTTATAATTCTTTAAATTATATAATAACTGAAAATCAAATCCAATCATTTAAATTCAGAATGATAAACAAATAAATAAACATCATTGGCCAATTAACAATTTTAATTATCTAATTCATTATTCATAATATTCTAAATTATAATAATTAAAAAATAGAATTTTAATTATTTAACCTAGAATGATAAAGAATTAAATAATCATTGTTGACCAATTAATAAACCCATTCTCAAAATGTTTATATCATTATTCATAAGTCTTTAAATTATATAATAATTGAAAATAGATTTCAATTATTTAAATTTAAGATAATAAATAATTAATAAACGTCATTTAAGTCTTGATCAGTTGATAAATTTAGCGTTCAACAAATAAATAGCTCTCGACTCGAAGCAGTTATGAATTTTTAAGATCAATAGATCAAAACACTTGTAATGTAATGATGCAGATGGGAGATGGTATCTTAGGTCAAAATTTGGGATACAACACCCACATCCCTTTGAGTCAGTATGTGTGTAGCGGTGAAAATCGAAGATCAAGCTATTAATTAACTTGACTCGCAAAATCAAGAGTCTCCACCACGCTTTATTGTTTCCAAGGGAAAAGGAAAAGAGCGAAATAAAACCCTTAAATATGCAATGTAAAGTAATACTTAAAAGTAATGAAAATACAATGTGTTTTTTTGAAAGAGATCGAAACTTCGGAGGTTGGTTATACAAATGGAAGGTACTATCACCCAATACATCTATGGTACTCCGCATGAACCTTTTGAAATATTTGTTTTTTGGTTAAGTTTGTTTGTTTGCTAAATGAATGTGGGGATGAGATTTTAAAATGCGACGTTCTAATGTCGAAGTTTTGACTTAAGAGAGGGTAAGTTTAAAAATTGATTTTTTTAGGAGATTCAACTTAAGTTTAATAAAATCTAAAATGTATGAAAGGGTTTCGCACAATTGTATTAGATCCTCGACGACATGAAGGCAACAAATTTAACTCTTTCCCTTAGAGTAATTCGAGCGAGCAAAATAAAATGGACATCAAAATATAAGCATTCGAAAATTCACAAGAAAATAAATCTGAATAGACAAATAATGTCAAAGAGGCAATGAGAAATTTAATTTAAAATGACAAATACAACAATCAAATACAAATGAAAGAGAATGTAATTAAATAATTAACTAAAAATATTTTATTAATCTAAATTAAAATTCTAAGGTTACTAAATTAATTCTAAACATAAATCACAATTCTAAAAGGTACTAAATTAATTCTAAATTTAAACTAATAATTTATCTAATTAATTATAACATGATCGTTTGGTTTCCCTCTAGAAAAAAATTAAACTAAGGAATTAAGATAATGAAGTTAAGAAAATTATGAAACTAAACTAATAAAAATGTGGGGTGTCAAGCAAAAAAATGGGGTGGTAGAGTTGAAATCCATTGGTGGGTTGTAGATTGAGGTGAGGCCCAACACTCTCTTATTCATTTGCTGAAATAAAATAAAAAAAAGACAATGGGTATAAGGAGAACAACAGATTGGGCCAGTTATTGGGGTGAGGCCCAAATGAAGTTTAAGGGAAAGAAAACCCTAGGAGCCTCTTGAAACAGCCGCTGAAGCAATTGGGATTTGGTCCAAATTATTTGCAAAAAAAACAAATCTAAATAAATTACCACCATAAAATGTGAAAGAGTAATTCCAGAAAAAATATCTCTCTGCCACGATATCTCTCTATTTCTCTCACGTCTCAAAATCAACGTCATCCTCTCTCCTCTCTCAATCGATCTCCTCGTCATATTTCAACAATAACAATTTCAACATGAACTCAACTTTCCAGTTCTCGTTTTACTATAAAGCAAACAACAACCTTGCTCAAATTCGGGACTTCTCTCTACCCGAAACAACAACACATCAATCTCAGTTTTTGTTCGTGATTCACGCTCTATTTGCGCTATCTCGGTCCTCATCGAATCAACAAATAAGCAACAAAAAACAACAATATTACAATAAACAGTTCAGAGAAACAAACATGGGTGCAAAAATTATAGGAGAAAAATACCTATCGGACTCCCTCCTATGGGATTCAAGAAGAGGTGTTTCTGCGATGATGGTAATTTCGGTGTTTGGATTGAACGTTGGTGATACGTTTCTATTTGCTTCTGATGTTGTTGTTGCGTTTCTTATTTGTAGGCTCATTGTTATCGGTGTTGTATGAATCGATGATGAGGATGCAGTTGGAGGGGCAGTTGCAGTGGTAGTACTCGTGAATGACGGTAATTATCGGTCTTCTGTTCAGCTTTTCTTCTCTTCGTCTATTGCTTATGATGTAAAAAAATTTGGCTGGAAATTGATGTATGTATGCAGGTTTTATACTGTCATTGTGAGGCAGGTTATGTATGCAGGTTTTGATAGTGTTTCTGAATGATTCTTGGTGTGTATATCCATGTGTTCTTATGTGTTTCTATGTGTGAAGTTGGAGCATTTTTGTATGAGGTTTTTGTTCTTGTTCTCTCCTCTGCGTATTGAATCGATTTTGAGACCTCCTTTCTCTGTTATGTTTTTTCTGTTTTCTCTATCAGTAATTTTTTTCTGTTACTAAGCCCTGCACTTATAGGAGAGAGAGATGAAATTGGCATCAAAAGTGTGGGAGATTTTGAGGGGGGAATGGATGGGATTTAAACACAATTAGTTAACTGTTTTTTAGCTTTCTCATGTAGCTTTTTCTTTGTTAATTATGTGCAATTTTGACAAGTTTTTTAGATTGTTTATGGTTTGGTTTTAGTACAAGGTGGCAGGGCTATGGTTTGGCATTATTATGCAAGTTTTTGGCAAGTTTGTGGACAGTTTTAACAGGAGCTTTTGGCATTATTATGCAGGTTTTGACAGATTTATATAGTTGACAACAGAGTGATTTTTTGTTGTTTTGGTGGCTGTAAGTTTGTATGTTTTATGCAAATGGACAGCAACGACACAACAGTAGTTGCAGTTTTTCCAGATCCGTTAGCGCGGGGCAGCAACTTCTTTGGAGGTTTGCAGCAGCAACATCATTTTGTTTGGAATTGGGACAATTTGGTGTAAAAGAGAGTTTGAGAAAATGACATGAAGACTTGTACCAAGATTGTAATAAGACTTAAGATTTCTTTTGTAATTCTTTAAATTTCTTTTGTAACTGTATGGATGAATTTGATTTGAACGATGTAATGAAATTGTAATTTAATGGACTTGATAGAAATTACAATGAATCTTTTCTTCTTCTTTTTGGAATTTTCCTTTGGATGTCACATATGCATGAAACTTTGGATGAAACTTGAGACTTGAATAGGTCATGAATGATGATGGTTGAATCTTTGAATGAATTTGAAGTCTTTTGAATGATTCTTGAATACAACTCACTTTTTATCAAAAATATTGTTAACTTTGAATCATGAGTGAAAATATTTATCTTTTGTGTGCTTGTATGAATCTTGAATGATATTGGAATGGAGTTTTTATCCATTCTTGAATAAACTTGAAATAACGCACCAAATTGAACCTTGCATTTGGATGAATGGTGTTGTACCCCAAAATTTGCCCTCTCATTTCATCAACATTTTTCACCACAAGACTCTTGGAACTCAAGATCAAGCTAGGGTTTCCTCTACTCAAGACACCTCCTTGCACTGTTGACCTAAATTAGGGTTTGAGTTTGCACAGTGATGTTTTGACCTACAATGCCCAAAGTGACTTTCATACTTCATATTGGACTCACAATTTTGTCCATACCAAGTTTCAAGCCTTGATCCAAATTTTTGCCCAGTCAATTGGACAGTTGACCTAGAAATCAGCTGTATTGGGGAAAAAGTCAATTGTGGCCAATTGACAGTCAAACCTCATGAAATATGATTCACGTCAACATTATGAACTTATATGAACCATTTGATCAAGTTTGGATCACAATTCCACAAGAAATTTGATCAGATCACCAAAAGGGTAAAATGGTCATTTTTAGGGTTTTGACTGTACAAAGGCAATTTTTGACTGTTTGACCTAGCCAATGGCAAATCAAGCTCAACCATGGACTCAAGGACTCAATGACATTGTCTTGACCCATTCAACAAGTTCAAAAGATCTCGAATGCCTAGGATGGACAGATGAATTTTTCAGTCAACTGATCAAAATTTGACTGTATACTGAAAAGTCAAACTTTGACTTTTTGGTCAAAATCAAATGCCAAAGGTCATTTTTCATCAAGACATGTCAAATTATGAAACTTGTTCATCAAGAAACCCAAAAATGCAAATTAGGGTTTAAAATGGAAAAATTTCATAACTTAGAATTTTTCTAAGTTATGAAATTTTCTTATTTTTTCTTAACTTTGTCCTATTTTTTCACCAAGATGCAAATGGATTCAAACAAAACTTGAAACATGAAAGTTGTAGTATATCACAAAGTCTTCAACCTTGATTCACAAAGTTTTCTCAAAAGAAGCATGTATCTCAAGTTATGATTTTTTGGAACAAGGGTACCTAAAACTTTTAACTTAGAAAAATTTTGCCCTAGTTTAGGCAGGATTTTGACCCATCTTCTTGGCCATTTTCCACATAGTTCCACTTGGAGTTTCAAGTTGAATTTCAAAGATGGATTGTAGTACATGTTGCAAGATTTCCAAATTGTCCAAGAACTCCTTAAACACCTTTGTGGTTAGGGAGAATCGAATGCTTGAAGTTGGCAAAAACTCACTTTGATCCATGGCCAATACATGTTCATACCACTTGCCAAATCTGATCTAGCTAGCTTGGTTCACAATTACAGGCCTTTAAACCAGTTTGTACTCCATAATTTAATGAATATCCATTGAGCTAAGGCATTGTCTTGGTCATTAGGGTATTGTACATTAGATTAAGCCTTAAATGGTAAAAGTAACAATGTCATTTTTGCTTGAACTTTGCTTTATGTCAAAACAATATCATAGAGCATTGAACTAGATCTCAGGCTGCAAACAAAATCCATTAATTAGAGTGGCCAAAAGGGTTGTATGCATAGTGATAGGATGGCTTGTACAAGTCTATAACCTCACTTCCTCTCTTTTGCTTCATGAAGGAAAAAACTTACAAAACACAAGGCATCTCACACATCTGATAAAACCAACAAAAACAAAGTTGTCAAACAAGTTTCATACATCCTCACAAGTCAGAAGCACGATCCTTTCACCCCTAAAGCATCCTCATACCCCAAAACCCCATTTTCTTGCAAAACAGGGCCAGTTCTGCATTTTGCAAGCTACTATCAAATTCCATCGTGCGTTTTGTCCAAAGATACTTCAAACACCTTCCAACCAACTCACCTGAACTATGCCAGGCCTCCATTGCTAGTTGTAACACCATTAACACACATTGCCATTTTTGTTTCAAAACTTTGAAGGTTGAGTTCTGTAGCACGATTCAGGCTACTTCAAAACAAGCCAAGCATTGGAAAAGCTTCATTGGACCTCAGGTAAGCTCAAAAGAACCTCAAGCACCCTTGGAAGTTGCTACATTGCCCTACTCGAATCCAACTGAAACAGGTTTTTCTTCACTTTCTATCTCTCTATTTAGGAACATTTAGCCTTAGGTTTGTGAATGAAAAATGTAGTATTCATTGCTAGGAAGCCATACATATGCTCAGCTTCCATTTATATTAAGTGTGAAAAAAGCTAGGTCAGATTTTAGGGCCAGAGAAATTCTCTTTGGTCTTTGAGAGTTAGGATCAATGCTTTATATGGTTAGAATCGTATTAAAATTCTCTACAAGTTTGATGTTGTGAGTTTTGGCAAAAGATCACTGAAACAGGATGTCCAAGTTTGAACCAGGCGCGCGCGCGTTTGACAAATGCTGGAGGTTGAATATGATGGCTTGGGCTGGGCCTGGCCAGTTTTGCTTCTAACACCCCTTTTTTCAGTTTCACACCCCCTGGCCCAATTTCTTATATTTTTTCATTTTTGAATTTTTTTTTACTTTGTTATTTTATTTCCAAATATAATAAATTCCCAAAAAATATTTTTATAATTTTTTACATTTATTTGGTATTTTATTTTGATTTTTTTTAATATAAAAACATTTTGAATACTTTCCTAATTTATTTGAAAACTTGAAAAAATATTTACATTTTATACTTTTATTTTGTTATTTATTTTTATTCATATTAAAAATATTTTCTTGAATATATTTTATTTTTGTACATATTTTATTTTATTTTGTACACATTTAATTTGATTAATATACACATAATAAACATATATACTTTTATTTTATTAAATACTTAGAATAAAAATACAAAAATATCACATTTTATTTTTTTATTATTATTTATACTAAAAAATACCTTTTTTAAGTATATTTCATTTTTACACATATTAATACATTTTTGCATATAAATAATACATAATATTTATTTTTTAAGAGAAATTAGGGTTTCCCCCTTTAAGCAAATAAAATTAATTTTTCTTTATTTATTTCTTTATAATTTTTCACATTAAAAATACCTTTGCATACATAAACAAACAAAAACTTCTTTTTGCATAATACATATTATTTGATATTTATTTATCTTGATTATTTAAATATTGTACATTTAAATATTGATGCATTTGATATTCAATTTGGATGTAATAGTAAACTAGGGTTTATGTTTCTTGTCAAATACCCCCAATTCAAATTTGTACCCCCCTCCCTATATCATGTTGTAATAGTGTAGAATTTAAATTCTCGCACTTTTAAATGCTTTCAATCATGCCATGATTAGACATAGGGTTTGTATGCAAAGTAAAATCAACAATTAGCTTGACCTAATCCAAAGATAAACAATGCATGAAAAACAAACACAATGCACACTTGCACCCCTAGGGTTATAATCCACTTGTTGCCTTCAAAAATGGGTCATGGTTGCATGTCAAGTACATTGGCAAAATAAAAATAAAACAAAAGATCATAGTCCCTCGATGACGCTATCTGAGTTGCCTAAACAAAATGATCAAGTCCCTCAAGAAAAATTTCCAAAAATACTTGACACTATTGCTATCATGGTCTATACGATGACCCGCGCCTGTCCCGTTAACATCCTAACACAAGGTTATTCACCAAATAAAATGGTGAAACAACACTATTAAAAGGGTTAAAAACATAAGAAATATCTTTGAGTAAAATAGGGTAGATAACTCTTAGTTACTTGATCAAAATCTTGCAAAAACATCCTTGCTAT